ATTCATGATGCTTGAAAGTTAAATTTCAAAGGAACTTAGAAACTGAAATGAGCACAAATGTTTCAGGCTTGCTTTCTATTTTTAAAAATATCCTTTGATGATAATCGTTTAAATACTGGAATACAAATTATAAATGAATTTCATATAATAGGCAATAAAATCAAGTATGGCACTTTTATTACAGACATTTATCAGTAAATCAAATATGAAAGAAATGCACAGCCCTGGCTATGCAGAAACTATGTTACTGATTAGCTGAGAAAACTCTTGGGAGGAGGAACCTATTTATAAAACAAAATCACAAAAGTTTTTGGATGCTCATTTTGTTTTACACTTAAGATAAAAATCTGCTAATGAGTTTCTATTTCTTTCTAAATTTTGTGCCTAAGCTCTGTATTATTTGACTTGTCTATCTGTAGTGTAGATACGAAAGAGCTATAAAAAGATGGAGAAGAGCCAACAACAGTGAAGTGGTAAAGTTGGAAGCTTCTGGAACATCAAAGAATTCCAGTGCTGGCAGAAAATGAAGAGTCATTGAGGAAAGGACTCTTTTTGCAACCTGTGGGGGATGTTCTCAGCAAGCTTTCAAAAGAGACAGCACTCTTGCATAGAATGAGAACTGGGAGTGTGTGAAGGGTGTAGTTGGAAGGGGTCACTTGTTATGGCAATACCCTTTACATAAAATTATGATGTAATAGGTATGCATGCAACACATAACGCAGTCACCACGTAATCATACTTCTTATGTCTAAAAAAAGAAGTCCTAAATGACAAATGATGTTTAACACTCAATTCATTTTCCACGGCTTGCTTCATGGTCAGGTGAGCTGTACCATCATTCTTACCCTGTACTTAGTTTAAAGCTCTGCTGCTGATGTCTTCAAATCCTTAATCATTTAAGAATAAAGGACCTGCATGTTCATTTTAAGTTACGAATTAGGTAGCCAGTCCTCCCATATATCACATAGACCCAAAAAAGTTATCTGTTTGCTTGCAGGTTACAAAATAAATAGATACACCTTAGAATGATCCTAAGTATGTTTAATGGAATAAATGTAATGTCCGTAATCCCCTAGTAAGTTTGTGGACACTATGAAGATAGGTGTTGAGAAGTTTGAAGGGAATGTGCTTTACCTTGTTTCCAGTGTCATGCTACCTTGCTTGTTAAAGTCAACTGTCAACACTGGGTTTTGCAACTACTCACATTCTAGCTTGGGGGAAGGAGACATTGACGCAGAAAATACAGTTTCCCTCTGGTCATTCAGCCTGTAAATAGTGCTATAGATGAAAATTTGTGCTCTGAGATTTTAGTCATGTTATTTTCTTAGAAATTGAGAAGAAGAAATTTATAGAAATGCACCTAACAGTGATGGCTTGTGCCTATGGTTACATAATTTTTATTTAGCATAATTTCAACATTTTTCCTGTCAAAATTTTACTTTCTGACCCAAAAACCCTCAGATTTGAAGGAGAAACAATGTTATTTCTCACATAGAAATGAATCAGACAGACATCAGGAAAGGAAGACTAACAAGACTAAGTGAACCTTGATTTACAATTCCCCATGCCCTTTAGGTCTGAAAACTTTCCATTTCTGTCAGAAAAACATGTAATTTATTTTTTCTCACAAGAAATGTACTCTACGTATTATAAATTAGCAGAGAGGACAAAGATGCCCAGAATATCTCTGCATTAATGACCATGTAAAAAGAAGTTCCAGTGATTACCATAGTTACAGTATTAAAAAAAACTAAACTAAACTTTCCTCTTCTCTTGAAACACACAATCCCTTCAACTCTGAAATTAAAATCAGGTTTGAAGTATTAATAATGTAATCCTATGACATATACCATTGTCTAGTTGATCAACCGGTAAGGCTTTATCTCCATAGTGTTACATGGAAATCCTGTTATTCTGCTGCAAAGCCAAAATCACAAGCCAGTCATTAGTAGCAGCAAAATATTTAATCCTTGAACTTAATACACGCTATTTTTGGACAAGTTATATAAGGCAGGAGTGTATGATTGTGAGCAAATTGTCAGGAACTTGTCAATGTCTTTTTAGGTTGTCAAGAGTAGGCATAGAAGGGAAGAGGTGGGTGTTTGAATTTAGGTTTCTCAGATCTATCATCCAGTCAAACAGAAGCATGCTTTCCACATTCACAGGATTCATATCATAAATCAAATACTTTCATTTACTTCTCCTTTAATACTTGCTTAATCATGACTGTTTCTTCCTTATTAGACTTTCCATGTGGTTTCCAAGCCCCATCTCTACACTGGTATAAAATATGCATTCCATCTCTATGAAAGCTCTAATGAATGAGCTAAGATTGAATTTACTTCTCTGTTCATGCACATTACAATGGTCATTCCCAAAAGGTGTTCATGAGAATAAATTAATATTGCCCTTTCTATAAATATGAAAAACAAGATCAATGACATTAAAATATTCATTTAGGATTACAGGTACTGATGAATATTCATAATCATAAATTTATATATTTGAATAATTCTAACTCCATGATAAAGGCAAAATTATTTTTAAAAAGAGACAACATGGATTTTCACAGTGATTAAAAAAATCAGTGTTATTCACACCCGCCTGTGTGAATCAGTAATATTCACACCCACCCGCCCTTCCCTACACACACAGGACCAGAAAAACTGAATACATTAAAATATCAATTAATAACCAAGATAACAATGTCCCATGGTATAGTCTTAACGTAAACGGTTTCAGCTTAAAAGCAAAACAGAACAAACCAACTACATATTCTATCCATACCACTTTTCAACCCAGTACAAATTGTTCCCCAAAATTAAAAAATAGATATATTTAGTTTCGCTTTTGATTTGGCAGATCATCACCCTAACTGTTATGTTTAAACTTATTTCCCTGAGAAAAGTACCATCTGGAAGAATAAACTGAAACTACTACCTATTATATTACATGGCAGAGTGGTTTCTGTTTGAGATGTAAAGATTACCATGTATAATTTCCTGTGTGAATGAAAACACAAAACAAAACACAAGTAAAACTCTGAGGTAAAGTATCAAAATTTCCTTAAGCATTCAGGAGATAGAAACTGAAATACTTTTGAATATATAGCATTATTTTTCATTTTGTTAAGATACTGATGACTAAAATAAAATATTTTAAATGGTGATAAATCCTCAATAATATGATGCTTACCAAAGTAGACATATTGAGAGAAGCAGAATAAAATAGTATGTTATTAGTGTCAACTATATTTAGAAATAATCATATTAATTGTAAGAAACAAACAAATTATGACTCTACAAGAATGTCACATTTCAATTTTTACCTGTCTTTGGCTCCACTGAGAAGTATGGCTGTCCTTGCAGAATACTGTAGACCACTCTGGCACTGTTGCCATACGTAGGATCATCAGCATCTGTCGCTGTCACTTGTACCACTGAGGTCCCTAGATGCCAATCCCAAAACCACTGAATTAAAAACTTCCAAATACCACAAAACAAATAACTTACAAAATGTTACTGATTCCACATTAAGCTTATTTGAAATTTTTCATTTATCTTTTTCAAGGCACATAAAAAAATTGATACCGTATTATTTTAAAATAAACCAGCTCCAAAGAGATGATAGATATTAACAAAACCCTTGAAATATTTAAGGGATAAGAAAATATTCTGGCAAAAAAAAAAAAATACCATCGATGATGCACATTAGGCTGGGATATACTCCGAATCAGATGGGACTGAAACTTTAGGTGTCTCATCCATTGGGTTCAGGTAATATATTTTCATCAAGAGCAGCTTCTATAAGACTCAATCACTGTCTAGAAAACAGCATGATAACAGCATCTTGGACACTTGAATCATTGCAGGTACAAAAATGTCATAGTTAAGATGATCCAGATAGAAACCAAAATGTCATTAACTGACAAAGAATATTTGATGCACCTAACTGGATATTAGGTGGCTACCCTATCTCCTTGGGATTTTTAAAAATTTTCTCTGCCAATTGATTTAAAAACAAAACAGGAAATGAAAATTTAAACCAAACCTCTTGTAAAAGAGGAAAGCCATGGCAACTTTAAAAATTGCATAGATAGTTTTTTGGTTGTTACATATGATGTACAACATATGATGTTACATATGAAATGTTGTATTCTTTCTTCATTTACTATGTATTCACACATTCAATATGGAAAGCATTTCTTCTGATCTGTTATTTTTTTCCATTTGGAATGTAATCTTTAAAATATCAGAAAGACTCATGTTTGCTTAGTTTATATATTTAGTTATATACTATTATTTAGTAAATATCCTGTCTTTTAAATATGGAACAGGTCCCTTTCTTCACGTATTCTTTAAGGTCCTAGTTTGTTTCAAATAATTTCCTGAATATGACATTTTAAAGCTAACATATTTTTAGATTGATTTCTATGTAAATATCTCTTTCAAAATGCCTTAAGCAAGTCATTAATGTCCACTTTGCTATAAATCCACTTTATTTTCTATATATATTTCATTGCCAATTCCATTTTCTTTAAAATTATGTGGAAATTATGAAAGTTAAGTGTACAGTACTATTCTTTAAACCATAAAGTTTTTATTTATTTTATTTTATATTTTGAGACGGAGTTTCACTCTTCTGCCCAGGTTGGAGTGCAATGGCACAGTCTCGGCTCACCGTAACCTCTGCCTCCCGGGTTCAAGTGATTCTGCTGCTTCAGCCTCCTGAGTAGCTGGGATTACAGGCATATGCCACCATGCCCAGCTAATTTTGTATTTTTAATAGAGACAGGGTTTCTCCATGTTGGTCAGGCTGGTCTCGAACTCCCGACTTCAGGTTATCCGCCTGCCTCAGCCTCCCAAAGCGCTGGGATTCCAGGTGTGAGCCACCACACCCAGCCTGAAGTTTTTTATTTTATGGACTTAGATGATTGTGCCCTGCAGATATCTGGTGGGGCCAAGATGGTAAATAATGAGTATTTTTAAATCTTTTTTAAGAATTAAATTTTGAATATTTTAAATGTTATAATAAATTACATTGATGTTCTCTCTTTCCTCTATATGTATCAGCTTTACAATATTTATTTTGGTAATATGCCTAAGTATGATTTTGCTACTTCATTTTAAAAGAAAGAAAACAATTTTAAACCAAATAATAAAAACTAAACTTCAGTAAGTTTGGCTGCGAACAATAATACTTTTTTTTTCTGAAAAGTTCATTATCTCATTTAACACATATAGACACACAAACCAGATAACACACACACATATTCACAAATAAATTTAAACTTTCCATGCCTGTCTATGTTCTTCTGGCAATAAACAAAATATCCTAAAGGCTTACTAGTGTGTTTAAAATTTTAGGATTAGTTAACATCTAATAAAAAAAAGATCCCTGGATATTAAACACTGAAAACCTGCATGACCTATATCATACTATTTGATGGTTATTATACTTGGTTAGACTTAAGCACTTTGATTAACTGTAGTGTTTGATAAACTGTAAGTCCATACAACATATGTTATGTAGTTTAGGTATTCCATGTTCTATGTCCCAATTTTTATATTAACTTAATTGTCTGAATCGGTGTCAGATAAACTCTGAAGACATCTGAAAATAATTTTCTAAGAAAGTTCTGAACCCATTTGAATCAGCCAAGTAAATAACTTAAATATAAATTATTTAAACACTGTGATATGGGCCAGGTGCAGTGGCTCACGCCTGTAATCCCAGCACTTTGGGAGACTGAATCAGGCAGATCGTGAGGTCAAGAGATCGAGATCATCCTGGCCAACATGGTGAAACCCCATTTCTACTAAAAATACAAAAATTAGCTGGGCGTGGTGGTGCACACCTGTAGTCCCAGCTACTTAGTAGGCAAGAGAATCTCTTGAACCTGGGAGGCGGAAGTTGCAGTGAGTCGAGATCATGCCACTGCATTCCAGTCTGTAAACACAGTGAGACTCTGTCTCAAAAAAAAAAAGAAAAAGAAAAGAAAAAATAAAGAAAAGAAAAAAAAGGTATTGTGACATGAAATAGCATGACTATTAATGACTATTATGCACACTTAAATAACATAAGTTATTTGACTTATAACATACATTAAGTATGCATAATAGTCATGCTGTTTCATGTCAGAGTACCATCAAAATCAAAACGACAATGCACTATCAGATTTTTCTTTTCTTTTTTTTTTTTGAGATGGAGTCTTGCTCTGCCTCCCAGGCAGGAGTGCAGTGGCGAGATCTCAGCTCACTGCAATCACTGCTTCCCGGGTTCACACCATTCTCCTGCCTCAGCCTCCCGAGTAGCTGGGACTACAGGTGCCCGCCACCACGTCCAGCTAATTTTTTGTATTTTTAGTAGAGACGGGGTTTCACTGTGTTAGCCAGGATAGTCTCGATCCCCTGACCTCGTGATCTGCCCGTCTCTGCCTCCCAAAGTGCTGGGATTACAGGCATGAGCCACCATGCCCGGCCACTATTAGCTTCTAAAACAAAAAGTTCACATATACCTATATAAAATTTGCATATCTATATTCTATGTGGGAAAGGAAAACACTGGCAAGCCGATGAAGAACAACCAAAATGTCCATGAGAACTAGGAGTATGAAGTTGAATTAAATTGCTCAAACACATCTCAAAAACTCCTGATTTACCAAACATTACTAATTTGGGGAGGAAGATGTGCCCTTTCTTTTTTCTATAACCTCCAAAATCTTGTAACAGTTACTGTTGCTGCTGCTCTTGTTGGTAAGCAGGAACAGCAGAAAGCACTTGGAAGGTGTGGATGGTAGTGAGGAAGAGTGAACACACCTGTTTGGTCACAGAAATGCTAGCAATGCTTACATATGTGCTAATTATAGTAAGATCATGCCACTGTGGTTCAAATTCTTCCTGGCCACAAGCATTGATTCTTCTGTCTCCTTATCATTTGGCATTTGTCTAACAGCTAGAGGCATGGTGGTGCCCCAAATAATTTCCCCTCTCTCTTCTAATAGGAACAGAAATTTAGGGCCACTAGACAGCGATCCCTTTAAGAGCACACATTATACACATCTTTGCAACCCCACTCCTCAGGGTCGTAAGTATGTTGATTGTATGACTGGATGAATGAAATGACCTTTAAAAAAAAATAAATCACATTGGTTAAAATGCCCATGTGTTAAAATACAAGTTCCATTATTATTTTAAATAAACTTCCTATTTCAATATTAAAAACAGCAGAAAATTAATATATAAATCAACTCATCTCTCACCCAGTCTCATAACTTTTTATTTTTATTTTTGTAAGATTGCCTACGCTTAAATTACATACTGGCTGTAAACTATTCCAAAAGTACTTGAATAAATGAAATTTAAAAGAGAATTTCTATTATTCTATATAAATAAAGTACACACTAGAAGTACTTTACTTGCTATCTTTCTAGTAATGGTGCAATGACAAAAGGCCTTTGAACAAAAAAGCCTTCATTTTTTAAAATATATATCTCCAAATGGGTACCTCCTTACCATTGCTATAAATTCACTATAAATTTTCATTCATTTAAGTTTTTGGATAATTTTTTTAAAATTATTGGTGGCATGGACACATGGCAGGGAACAACACACACTGGGGCCTGTTGAAGGGTTGGGGGAGGAGGGAGAGCATCAGGAAGAGTAATTTAGGGATGCTAGGCTTAATACTTAGGTGATGGGATAATCCGTGCAGCAAACCACCATGGCACACGTTTACCTATCTAACCTGCACATCTGCACATATATCCCTGAACTTAAAATTTTGAAATAATCAGTGGTGGCATGTGGATGGCCATTTGTAGGTTCAATTACACTCATTACAATTAAACAGATCAGCCGATCCAAATATTAGCCTGGCTAGCCATCAATGGCCTTCTTGATACACTGGCCATAGAGAGATGTTTAGAACAATGAATCAATATCTTAATATCATGGAAAGAAAAGTAAAAGATCATCACTGGCCTGTGTCTGGAAGAATTCTATTTGTTAACCTCTGAGGCATCACTGTAATCATTTAAAAATATAAATAAATATCAAGTTAAAAAAATGTAAGATTAAAGTAATTTCCTGAAAACACTGAAATAGCTGTACAAAAACAATTTCCTAATTTTCCATACAAATAAATAAATAAGTGAAGTTAATGGATACTGGCCACCAACATGTCTCAAACGTTTCCCTCACCCTAACTGACAATTGCTACGTACATACAGTCTATTCAGTACTTAAGGATGATTTAATTTTAAATAAAAAACTCCCCGAATCAGCCACAGGCTACAAAGCAGATTGTTCTTTACTTACCCACAGGAGACATTTCTGGAACTCCTGCCGTGTATGGGCCATCCAAAAATTTGGGTTCGTTGTCGTTGATATCCTGAATTTTGATGACAAACTCCGACTCGGGCTCCACGGGTTTGTTGGTGAGCCTGTCCAGAGCTTGAGCTCGGAGCGTGTAGTAGGCCTGCTCCTCGCGATCCAGTCTCTTGGTGGCATGAATATCCCCAGTGTTCTCATCAATAATGAAAATGGAACTTGCCCCTTCGCCTGACAAGATGTATTTGATGGAACCATCTCCTTTATCAACATCAGAGTGAAGCTGGTGAAAAATTCATGTGAGATGAGATTAACTTACAAGAGAGTCAGCGATACGGAGATATGTAAAAATAATTCTTATGTCAGGTAGGAGTACACGAAATTTTATTGTTCTTGGAAAGATAAGCTGAACGCTTATTGTGCACAGCAGAAAGGCTATGAGAATGTGTCAGCTTGTACTTGTGAGCAAGACAATTTCATTTCTTCCTGTAAACAGTCACATTTCCAAAGGTATCTTATATCAGTCCCAAAGTTGGGAACTGATTGTAGTATTATTTTTTATTTGACCTGTCCTTGCCAGTTTTAGCCATCTTCTTTGAACAGAGCAGGCATTCAGTAAACATGTATAATTGATTGATTTGATCTACTCCAAGCAAAGAAACTTTCTATAGAACATTTGTAAATCTAGTTCCAACATACCATTTAATACGCTTAGAAACCCCCATATTATTTAAGGGTGCCCTTCTCTCCCTCCTTCCTGCCCTGTCCCCACTCACACTCCTTTCTGTGATTAACGAGTATGGCTGGATGTCCAGTCTCTAAATCTGTCTCCAAATCCTGTTCTGTATTTTAAAAATTGGAGCTGAAAAAAAATGACACAGCTCTCTCAAGTAGGAATTTTAAATCAATACACGCATGGGACTTCAGCTAAACCCTTTCTTGAAATACCAAGAACTGCATTCGACTTGCATGATGAAGCACAGCATCAGTAGCACAGCAGTCCCTCCAGATTTGCGTTTCACATCTGGAGCTGTCCCTGCTGTATGTCAGAACATTATGCTGAACACAGGAACCTCAGGAAACTCAGACGTAATTACACATTTTCCTGAACTTCATAACCTGAGAAACGCGCTACTCAATCCGTCATTTCAACAATCTTTCACCCCCTATAACTGCCATCATTCTGGGCTTTGGATAATATGAATGTAAAATCCAATTTACCAAATAATAAAGCTTTTCGCTGCTCTTCAGAACTACGTTTGCATTTTTTAAAAGACAAGGTGCTAAAGAGATATAAAATATGAAAAAAAAAACACCGAGGAAAGTATGGACACAGTACATTTTCATCCTTCCCTGGTAGCTGTTGAGGACATAGCTTTTTGTACCTTGAATTTCTGTAAATGATTGTTTTACTGCACTGTAACAGCTGTGTTTATCCTCTGCTTACAAGTACTTGAATACCTGATTTATCTTTTGGTTTCGATAGGACTACATAATACAAAAAGTAAATTTCTGGCACCAGTTATAATTTAATTTTTTTCAGTGTGAATTATCTAGTGGATCCTAAGCCATACGTTTATTCAGTGTACGGAAAAGGTGTGTTCTTCAACTATTGTGAATTATTTAACTTTCTTAAGTCATTTTTAGGGTTATGATTATATATGTAACTCCCTCTAATTTATAATACAAAGGGTGAAATATGAGCATTATTATAGTTTTAATTATTAAGAACTTCCTAGATGTCAGTCACTATGCTTAACATTCTTTTTTTTTAACAAAACAATACTTTTATTTTAGGTTTGGAGGTACATGTGAAGGTTTGTTACATGGGTAAAACATTATTTACATAGTAACTCATTCAATATTCACATTTGCCCTTAATCCTACTAACAAATGAGGAAACTGAGGTAGAAAAAGGCTAAGAACCTTGCCTGAAGTGGCCCAGCCAACTCTGGCAGACGCAGGATTATGAAAACCGGCAGGCTGGTCTAAAGCCCACATCCCCACTCCCTATAATGAGATCCAGCCTCCAGGATAGGAACTGTTGTGCTGTGTGCTAGGGTCTTCAAGAGTTGATGCAAAGGGGAATGTGAGGAAAGAAGGCAATATGCAACCAACCCCACCTGATCACCCCCCAAATCTTCAAAAAGCTCAGTGCTTCGAGTGGTTTCCATCTGTACGTTTTATGACTTACCAACAGGGTCCCTTCTTGCCATTACATAACAATAAACTCCACCACACTCAGTAGTACATAGCAAAAAACTTGACTCCCAAGACAAATGCAGATGATGGATGAAAACAAGTTGTTTTTAAAACAAGCTTCCAGTCCCTGGGCCGCTTAAATGCTCAATGCTGCTCTCCTAAGGCTCCCTCACCCTCATCTGTGCTCCCATGGGGCGGCAGCTGGTGGCAACTTATCTACACGTTACTGCTGACAGTGGCGTGCAATGTTAGAACATCCAGAAGACCACAAGAAATATCAATTATACATGAGTCATGTCTTTAATCAAAGCTTTTTTACACTGAAATCACATGAACGATTTTCATTTACAGAACAAACCCTTATGATTCATTTACCTAATTCCTACCAGCTGATCACTGTTTTCGTGGCATGGTGCTACAGTGTCCCTGTGGCATTCCAAGTATGAGAAACAAAACAAATCTATTTTCAAGAAAAATCGACACAGTAAGTCCTGACTGTGAACTTCAACCTGAGCTCTGACGCCGCATTTTATTAAACATTATGGGGTTGTCAGTTGTTCTCCATTACTGACAACATCAGAACTTAAAAAAGTTTCATACTGCTGGATTCTCCAATCATTCAACAATCAAATTCTTCCTCTTCTACTACCTACCCGTGCCCCACCCATGCCCCACCACCCCCAGCCCCGCACACATCCTGTTTCAGGAGCCCTAAACTTTACTATTCTTCCCATCGCTGACAATTTTCTCCCAGCTGGTACCATCACTAGGCTTCTAACCACTGCCAAAATTCACAAGCAGAAAATTGCTTGGAGCCTATATTCAGTGTCTTTGCAAAGTTACTGTAAGCATCTGTGGTTAAAAGGGACCAACTTTGAATTGTTAAAATGGGTACATAATTATCTGAGGCATTCAGACATTTAATCTGTGAGACTTTGTGCATTTTACTAATCCTAATAGGTGGAGTGAAATCCACACTCTTAATAAAAAACTCCTCTCTCTTTGATGAAAAAGAATGCTCAGCAAAGAAGAAAAATGTTCTCAAGTGTAGAAATAGCAAATCACGTTCTTAAGTTGACAAGTGTCTATGCAGGCACGTGCACGCTCACGGACAGACACACACACACACATACACATGCATGGACACATGCATGGACACCTTTGAGAATAACTATAACAACCCGAACAGAAAAATGTTACTCCCCGCTGTGAAAACCTTTGACCAAGAAAAAAACAAACTATGATCCTATAAAATGGTCAATAAGTACATAAGCAAAAGAAACAATGCAACCAAAGACAAGTATTTGTGCTCTATTTGGGGGCAGAACAGCGAATCACCTAAGTCTATTCTACTCACAAATACCCTTGCAAATGTGAACCTGAGATTAGCCTAAACAATAATAAAAAAAATATTAATAAGCAGATAAAATTTACCTTTACTGCCTGGGTTCCTAAATCATTTTCAAAGTATTTGTTTTGACTTCAAAGTAACTATTTACAGATTTTTTTTTTCAAATGAGCACAAAAAGTGAGAGGCATAGAACCTTAGTTGAGTCTAGCTCATGATAAGGCAACAGATAAGTTGAGGAGGAGGTACGATTATGTAAATCCTGTGTCATTATGTCAGCATTATGTATTCATATGTAAGAAATATCAGACTCTCATAAACTACATAGACCATGAATGCAAATCACATTTTACATGTACCCTAAAATATATCCGTGAATAATCCATTAATGTTCCATCAGCCCCTGCTTGATAGAGCACCCCCCACCATGAGTCTATTGTATCTGAGCCCTTTTTCATTCATTCTGAACTATAATCCTCGTTCAGAATCATCAAACCTTTCACTTGGGCTATTGGAAAACACCTCAATTATTTTTTAATTTAATAACTCACATTGTCTAGGCTGTCACAATCAAATTATTTCCTCTAAAACATATATTAAATTATATCACATCCCTCATTAAATATGTTTCTGTCCACAAGAGTATCTTTATTGATAAGTGCTGAAAGATAACACTGAGATATCATAAGATATCATATTTGCACAACAATGTTAGCTCTGAAGGACTTTCATGATGGATCAGCCCCTGGGCGTGGCCTGGAGCTTCCCGATGGTCCAGCCAATTGTGGCTGATTATTCCAGGAAGCATCTATTGCCATGTTTATGCTGATTTTAGAGCCTATGGAAAGTACATCTGTGCTATTTCAAAGTGTATGGAACATTTACTGGGCTGACTCTTGATCCTCCTTCTTTGGCCTTTTCAGCACGCTCACCAAATATATTTAATTGCTTCCCATGGTCTATGGATTTAACCGAAAATTCTAGGCATGAGTCCCAATCTGATTCCATTCTATCTCCCTGGCCTTGTTTTTCCACCACATCTCACAGTGTAGTCTATGGTCCAAGCGTGCTGGACTAGTTCTCACTGCCTGAGCATAGCAAGCATTTCCCATGCTTCCCAACACACCCACTCACAGACATCCAATTCAGCTCGATGCAAGTTCCCTTTTTCTGAAGTTTTACAACTGTCCTGTTTATTTCCCATAGTTTCTTATTTCAATTTCTATGATAGAATTCATTTAATTCTGCTTTATATTGAAAATCTAGTTATTTTTATATTCAACTTTAATTTATAAACTCCTTAAGAACTAAGTTCTTTTTATCACTATGTTCTACATCCTTAATAAAGTCTGTTGTATTAAATTTGGTAAATTTATAATCCACTTTGTAAAATAGCAGTATTTCTTTTATTTCAATTTCTGTCCTTATAAGTTTTAATAGCTTTTTAAAGAAAAACAAAAAAAAAATATCCTGTATCTCTGGTTTCTTCTCCATAATCCTCTGAACCACTTAGATGGAGTTCAGATGCCTTGCTTTGTTGCTCATGGTAACACTTAGTGTATGATTTTGTACTTTCACACTTACATGTTTTTGTTCCCCAGGAGACAGAGCCCTGGTAGAAACAGGCATCTTTCTTATTCCTGTTTCCTCAGCTTTTATACAGTAGTTCTCTCTCCCTTTTTTTCTCTCTCTCATAAATACACAGACACACACACATGCATGTGTGTTAAGGG